CACATCCAGCACAGGACTTGAACTCATGACCCTAAGACCAATAGCCGCATGCTCTGACTGAACCAGCCAGGTGCTCTGAATAAGTCCCTTTTTGACTTTACCCCACTTCCAGCACACTTTATTCCTCTTCCACCTTTACTCTTCTCTTTAAAATTTATCACTGCCTAAACCCAATTTACTTTATTTGTCTTCCCAATAAAATAAGGCCCCAAGCGGGCAAGAATTTTTTTTTCACTGCTATGTAAATGTTCCATATTTGTTGATTAAAAGAATGCCAACACTTCGACACCTGTTAGTTCTATTTGATTTATTTTCTTTCCCATCACAGTCTCTCCACCATTCCTTTCAATTATTCTCTCAACCCTAGTATACTGCTCCTTTGTCCTCTTGGGATTTTTCCTGCTGGCTCTATCTACATAGAGCATAGCCAGCATGGGCTCCATGATTAACTGTCACATGATAATCTTCATTTACACATACCCTCTTATCTTCTACCACACCTGCTGTACCAACACTTAACCCTATATTACTCCCCACCATCCAACTTATCTTACTCCATTGTCCTTTCCAGAGCATTCCAAGAGAAGACCTTAGACCATTGCCAAACCTCAGACCCTTGCTAGACCAAATCAATAACAAGTGAAGGTAGATCTCAATGTTCAAAAGCCATGGTATACAGAAGAAAGAGAATGGGGTGGAGAATTAGACCTGGATTTCAGAATTGGGTATCATATGCACTACCTGGTGTCTTTGGCTGAGTCAGCAACATTTTGAGCCTCTTTTCTCATCATGGGGGTAGTAGTACCTACTTCATACCTCGAGGATTATATTTTAAATGAAATAACGTATGTGAAAGCTCCCAGATTTCTAGGCATGGAGAAGTTGCTTAATAAGTGTCAGCTCCTTCTCTTCCTTTAATGTATCTCACTAACCTCTTTAAATGACTAACTCTTACTCAGCAAGAAAATCCATGCTCTCTGGTATAAATCTTAATTTTCCTCTTTTCTCTCCTTTCCATTTAGAATTCTGTGTCTTCTTTTCTTGATTCAGAAGTAGTGTCCCTCTTCTTTTTAAAACTAACCCTCTATCCATGCAAATAGTTTTCACCCTGGTTGTACATTAGAATCATCTGGGAGCTTTTAAAAAATGCAGATGTCTGGGCCCCACCATAGGCCAATTAAATATGACTCTCTGGAGGCAGGAGCATGGTATCGGTATTTTTTTAAGTTTCCTGGTAGGGTGCCAAGACAATTCAATGGAAGAGAGAACAGTCTTTTCAACAAATATTGCTGGAACTGGATATCCTCATTCAAAAGAATGCAGTTGAACACTTCCTTATACCATGCACAAAAATTAACTCAAAATGGATCACAGACATGAATGTAAGAGCTAAAACTGTAAAGCCCTTTAAAAAATAGGGATAAATCTTCATAACCTTGGGTTAGGCAAAGTCTTCTTGGATAGGACACTAAGAGCACAACAACAACAAAAGTGAAGAAACTGAATTTCATCAAAATTTTTAAAAAGGGGCACAGCAAACAATATCACCAAGAAAGTAAAAAGACAGCTCATAGAATGAAAGAAAATATTTGCAAACCATATATCTGATAAAGAACATATCAAAGACTCTCAAACTCAATAGCAAAAAGGGAAATAACTAACTTTTTAAATGGGCAAAGGATCTGAATAGACATTTCTCCAAAGAAGAAATAGAGAGAGCCAATAAGCACATAACAAGATGCTCAACATCATTAACCATTAGGGGAATGTATACGAAAACCACAAGGAGATAGCACTTCAAATTCACTAAGATCACTCTTGTCAAAATTAGAGATACAATGAAGTGTTGCCAAGGTTGTAGAGGCTGAAAGCCTTATATGAGGCTTATACTGGTGGGAATGTAAGATGGTGCAGCTGCTTTGTAAAACAGTTTGGCAGTTCCTGAAAAATGTGAAACATATAGTTATCATAGGACCCAGCAATACCACTGGTAGGTATATACTCAAGAGAAATGAAAACACGCGCTCACACAAAAACCTGTATGCAAATGTTCACAGCATTATTCAGAACATCCAAAAAGGAGAAACAACCCAAATGTCCATCAACTGATGGATGGGTCAGTTAAACACGGTATATCTGTACAATGGAATATTATTCCACAAAAAAGGGAATGAAGCCCTGATATATGCTATAATATGAAGAACTCTGAAAACCTTATCCAAGTGAAAGAAGCTAGTCATGAAAGCCTGTATGTTACATGATTTCATTAATATGAAATGATCAGAATAGGCAAATCTCTGTATAAAGAAAAACGATTAGTGGTTGCCTAGGGCTGGGGGGCTGAGGGGAAATGAGGAGTGACTGCCAATGTGTATGGGTTTCTTTTTCTTTTTTTTTCTTACCGTGATGAAAATATCTTAAAATTGATTGCAGTGATGGTAGAACAACTCTATGAACATACTAAAAACCACTGAACAAAGAGACAGAAAGTTCCCCAGGTAATTCCAATTTTGATCACCCTATATGTGTATGGTATCTCACCTTCTAGATTCCTTAGGAGGAAATATGGCATCTTCTAAATCTTTCTCTCCTCCTATATTCTTAAGGAATAACCAACCGACACAGAGCAGGAGGGTATTATCTCTTAAATGACTCTTTTGTTTTTTTTTAAAGTAAAGGAGTGTTCTTGGGAAATGCTTTTTATTTTAGTCAAAATTATAAGGGTCAGACTGCCACCTGGCAGCATTGGTCATCTTGGCCATCTTGATTCACTTGAGCTCCGCAAGCAATTAATTCAGTTGTAGCCCAGCGAGAGAGGGTAGGTAGACAGTACAAACCAAACTGACCGGTTCTGCCGTCCAAAGTACTGTTGTTCCGGCCTCTACCAGTGGATATGGCCTGTGGCCCTTTAGGAACCATGCTTTTGACAGTTCCCCAGGAGAGGGCTCTGGTTTGACTGACTTTGTTTACTAAATAAATTAATTCCTACTTCTGGAGTAGCTTCAATTTTGAAACAGAAAGGCATCTATTGACAGTCACTGATACACAGGATTTTATTGTTTGATATTAAACAATTAAGAGTTATTGTGTTTTTTTCCCTACAAGTACACTATACAGGAAAATAAATATAATCTAGAATACAGCCACTAGGAGTGGAGAGAGAGGGCGATTCTGTATCTACTCTGTGCCTTAAAGGGATAGTTTTACTTTAATAAAATGCAAAGTACGGACTGTATTTCTTTCATGGAAATAAAGCCCTCTTGCCAAAATGTATAGAAAAGACAGCGTTTGATGAACATTTCTTGAGCTTAATTATATAAACACATTTTTTAAAAAAGAAAAAATCTAAGAATTCAGTCTTTTGATCCAGCAATGATCTGGACTTCAGTAATTTGGAGTAACTTTGCAATTGCTACTTTTAACAAAGTCTGAAGGTACACAGAAGAACGATGAAATAAGTCTAGATGCTTACAAATACAGGGAAATTGTGTCATTTGCTCAACCCAGCCTATAAAAAAAAATTGCACAATATGAAACCATAGTTATCTGAGTAGAGGACAAAGATCTGATTTAGAATGAGGCATAAGTTCTCCCTTCTTTAGTGAGTTCAGATGCACTCAGAAAAACAAAATGAATAAGGGCAATGCCAAGATGAGAAACAAAAGAAAACTCCAAATTCTCAGGTAATTCTGAATGAGTTTACAGTGGGAAGAGTCACTAATAATCTTCAAAACAGGTCATGAGAGTTCCAGTTCAGAAGCCCTATTTCATGAGAAAAGAAGACAATAGGAAAAATCTCAAAATTAAGTATTGATTATACAAAGTAAACATGAGAATGCTGGATGATAAGAAATTAACATTTTGCTTCCCCTCTCACTGGAGACAACAAGCAGGTAGATGCTGCCAACTAGAATATAATTTGCTCCAAGTGAGGGAGGTGGAAAATGCTATTAGGTTATCTGGGTTGAGGAGCTGCCCTGGGGCAGGACCTGTCACAGAGTCCCATCCCTCTTCTTTACAATCCCAACTTTCACCAGAATATAATCCAGAATCTTGGAAAATAAATTCGATCACAAATACTAACTTTCTGTTAAACCTCCAAGCAAAAGTATCAAACCAACTTAATACTTGGAACATATCAGAACTTTCCCATGTTTGCCAAGCACAGCAGAATAAACTATTTTCAGCTGGGAGTTCATCTTCAGAAAACACTCATGTGCATTTCAATGCAATATAATTATGGAATGTATTACGAAACCACTTCTTAATTTTCATTCGGGGATATTTTGCAGATCAGAATTTAAAGGATCATTCCCCTTTTGCCTCTGGTGCAGGCTTTTAAGTTTTAAAAATATAAATAAAATGCACAGAGTGACAGAAAGAGCCCTAAAGATGTATAAATACACCCCTGTGAGTCCCAAAATAAAAGCTTTGGAGGGGAAAAAAATGGTCGGACAAGTATTTATCTTCCCCAAATTGCAAGCTCGAGACCCTGACTGGTACACAATTACGAAACAAAGGGGAGGTGAAGGGTGACACACAACAGAAAGGGCGGCAGAAAGGAAGACCAGAGCTCGGCAGGCTAGAACCTGCTCGGTCTCGCTGACCCAGCTTCCCCTGGCACCTTTCTGGTACGAGCTGGGGGCTTTGCCTCTCACGCGACCCGCATGCTCTTCTCCGAGAAATGAATCTCACTTTAAGGAAAGCCAAGCCCGCATCCAGAGGTAACGTGCAGAACCGTAAATGAAAAATGTCCACGTCTAGCAAGCAAGCAGACCAGCAAAGGGAAAACCAGCTGTCAGTTTGGGAGGCTCGGAGCTCTAACTGGGTTTCAGATTACTCTTTGCCCCTGTCTTCCGCTCTGTCTTTCTCACCCAGTCTCCCTCAATAATATCAGCTTTCTAATCAACTCAAATCTCAAATACCTTCTCCATCTGTCCTTGTGCTAGAAATGCTGATGAAACAGAAAAGAAAAAAAAAAAAAAGAGTGTGATACTCACAACAATGAAGAATTCCTACACATGCCGTTCCATTTTCTTGCTTTAAAAAGGTGGAAGGTTAATTTAAAAAGCCTTGCAGAATCAGAAAAATAAGGGGGAGGGGGATTCCACCCACACAATCCTCCAGCCCACCGCAAAGAAGCCCAAAGGCTTGCTGACGTCACAGATTCATGAATGGATGTAAATTGGGCTGGTTTAGGATTCCGCACAGACTTCTCTGTGGTGTGTGCCATGAAAAAGAAGGGGAGGGTCCAGAGCAGGCCTGACCAATAGGCTTCAGGCACTCATGGCCTGCCTTCTTTTAGGAGGAATCTGGTCACAGAATAAACAGAGCCCGCCAATCAGGCGTCTGCCACTGCCTTAAGACAGACTGGCAGCTTGAGGGGGTGCGGGGAGGGGGGGGAGTGTGTGTGTGTGTGTGTGTGTGTGTGTGTGTGTGTGATAGTCGTGAAAACGTATTGCTATTGAATAAGAAAATCAAAATATGGGGTTATGGACATTGGGGAGGGTATGTGCTATGGTGAGTGCTGTGAAGTGTGTAAACCTGGCGATTCACAGACCTGTACCCCTGGGGATAAGAATATATTATATGTTTATAAAAAATAAAATTAAAAAAAGAAAATCAAAATAGAATTTCGGTGGAATCAGGGCTACCAAAAATGCATATAGAAGAATCACTCTTTTATTCATTAGAGCTGTTTTCTTTACTCCGTTCTTGCTGTTCAGCAACGTGCCTGCTCTGATGTGATAAAAAACAAATCAAAGTCAGGGAAAGAGTTTCTAAAACTAGCGATGAGTAAGAAATGTACGCCCTGCTCACCAAGCCTTGTAAAAGAAAAACAGTAGGGAAATATTAATGGGAATAGTGGTTAAGAAATATATATATAAGACAATATTACATAAATGTAATTTTTTTAGAATAATGTCATTTGCTCACCTTTGTGATGCATCAAAGTGGGTGTGGAAGAGCAATGCTGCATTTAAATAAGGTAGGTAAATATTTCCTCATTAAGACACAGCTCCAAAATAGCTCTTAATGATTCTTAGACCAAATTTTTTTTAATAAGATGCCTTACTATAAACAGCAAAAACAGCTATATTAAATTCACCCAAGAGCTCATGACATTTAAAACTTTCTAATTAAAAATTTTTACCAGCTGTATTGAGATATAAAAAAAATGCACGTATGTAATTTGTACAACTGGATGAGGTCAGAGTCATGCAAACACCCACAACACCATCGCCACAGTCAAGACAGTAGACATAACCAGAGGGTTTTCTTGTGTTCCTTTGCAGGTTTTTTGGTTTGTTTTTATGGTAAGACTACTTCACATGAGATCTACCCTCTTAGCAAATTTTGAAGGGCACAATATAAGACCACATTGTTAACTATAGGCACAAAGCTGTGGAGCAGATTGCTAGACTTACTCATTTAGTAAAACTGAAACTTTACACCCATGGAATAACAACTCCCATTTCCCTCCCCCCTCATCTCTGGCAACCCCTATTGTATTCTCTGCTTCTACAAGTTTGACTCTTTTAGATATCTCATAGAAGCAGAATCATACAGTATTTGTCTTTTTATGACTGGCTTGTTTCCCTTGGCCTAATGTCCTTCAGGCTCATCCACATTTTCCCAAATGACAGGATTTCCTTTTTTAAGGCTGAATAATATTCCATAATAAGAATACACCACATTTTCTTTATCTGTTCATCTGCTGATGGACACTGTTGTTTCCATATGCTAGTCATTGTGAATAGTGCTGCAGTGGACATGGGAGTGCAGATATCTCTTGGAGATCCTGATTTCAGTTCTTTGGGGCATATGCCCAGAAGTGGGGTTGCTGAATCATATGATAGTTCCATTTTTAATTTTATGAGGAATCTCTATACTGTTTTCCACAGTTGCTATACCATTTTACATTCCCATCAACAGGGTACAGGGTTCTAAATTCTCCAAACCTTGCCAACATATGTTATCCTTTTCTAAATAGTAGCCATCCTAAGAGGTATGAGGTGATAACTCACTGAGGTTTCACTTTGTATTTCTCTGACAGTTAATGATGTTGGGCACCTTTTCATATGCCTATTGGTCATTTGTGTGTCTTCTTTGAAGAAATGTCTATTCAAGTCCTTTGCCCATTCTTTTTTTCTCTTTTTTAAGATTTTATTTATTTATTTGACAGAGAGAGATCACAAGTAGGCAGAGAGGCAAGAGGGAGGGGAAGCAGGCTCCCCACTGAGCAGCGAGCCCGACGTGGGGCCCCATTCCAGGACCCTGGGATCATGACCTGAGCCGAAGGCAGAGGCTTTAACCCACTGAGCCACCCAGACACCCCAAGTCCTTTGCCCATTCTTGACATTGGTTTTGGCAATAATTTCTTGAGATGACACAAAAGCACAGGCAACAAAAGCAAAAATAGACAATTGGGACTATATCATCAAACTAAGAAGCTTTAATCAACAGAATGAAAAGGCAACCTACAGAATAGGAGAAAATATTTGTAAAACACATATCCGATAATTTCCAAAATATATAAGGAACTCATAAAACATGATAGCATAATAAATAAATCATGACATTTCTTTACTCTTTGTTTTAAAAATGTTAGAAGTTACACAAAAGTGGAGATTAATAAAATTCACTGCCCCTAGACCCTATCATTTCACTTCATGATTACCAATACTAAATAGCAATACTAAAACTGATCACAACTTTTTTGAATTTGAGAAATCCTTGATGCTGGAACAACAGCAGCTAATATAAGGTCTCTGTTATGAGGTGTCCAGTGACCAAGAACATTCTGAACAGAGATCTTCCTCTATTTCTTAATCAGACTATTTGTACAGCTAAAAGGAGAGTGGTTGCCTGTCCCTGTATGGCTATGGAGGGTTCAAGCCTGACACTAGTGAGTACTGTACCCTGCTTAGCTCATTTGGAAAAACAAAATGCAACAAGACTCTCCAGAACTATTTTACACACAGCAAAGATGTTCAGGGCACTGTTCTATGTACTCAAACAATAGAATATCATTGGCAAGTAACATATTCAGCAAATTTCTCTAAACGAGCTTACTGTGGAGTATCACTATGGAAAAGATGGACCACCAGGATCGCTCAAGACAAGTACAGGACTGGTGTAGTCCTAGTAGCCCCGAGGGTACCACACTGGCTTATATCAATACGACCATGGACCAAGATTATTTTAGAACCCATAAATGGAAAGGAATTAAGAATACACATCTCTGGGGCGCCTGGGTGGCTCAGTGAGTTAAGCCACTGCCTTCGGCTCAGGTCATGATCCCAGGGTCCTGGGATCGAGTCCCGCATCGGGCTCTCTGCTCAGCAGGGAGCCTGCTTCCCTCTCTCTCTCTCTCTGCCTGCCTCTGTCTACTGTGATCTCTGTCAAATAAATAAATAAAATCTTAAAAAAAAAAAAAAGAATATACATCTCTGTTTCTTTTGACAACAATCAAAACTAACCAGGGCACACTAAAAGAATCAGATTTTTTAGAAAAGAATCTTTTTTTCCCCAAAAGTTGGTCAACAAGATGTTCAACTCTGTTATGGAAGCCAACGATTTGTTAAAAGGTTTGACAGCAACACCGTCACTCAACTAGTCTACCAGGGAGGAGGGTAGACTTTGGTGTAATTAAAAAACACAGCCTATAAGTGGTTCTAAACACAGCCACCTAAGAAGCTGGTTCTATATGTAATCTGACAAATAAAAACGAGCTGGCTATATGGACTTGCCATTTTAGTAAGATGAGCTTGGTCTGGGTTAGCATGCTTCCCTGTACCACAGAAATACCGACAGGGCCAGCGACAATTTCTCCTGTTGAATATCATGGGAAATCTTTGGGAAGATAAGTTATCTCCTCCAAATTACAGAAACTGTAGAGGTAATTCTTGGAGGAAGGCAGTTGTTTTGGGAACAGAAGGAAGGTAGGGAGAGGGGGCCATGAGAAATGTACATTCAAGAGCAGCACTGCCCAAAATATCCTGCAATGATGGAAGTATTCTATAATTCACACTAATACAGTAGCCCCACGTGACGGTTTAGCATTTAAAATGTGGTTACTGTGATTGAGGATCTGAATTTTAAATTATATTTTAGTTCATTTAAATGTTATTTTATTTTTATTATGTTCAGTTAGCCACCATATAGTACATCTAAATTTTAAAATAAATACTCATATGTGGCTCGCTGGTGGCTACTGTATAGGACACGGCAACTTTAGAGATATCAAGCCAAGTCCCATCATCAGAATTAATTTTTTATTTTAGCATGTGGGCATGCCAAGTGTGGAGGACTACAAAGTCATTATCAAGGTGAGTAAGCACTTTTAAGAATCAAATGAACCTCTTCAAATCTCAGTAATGACTGGAAGATTACTCTGGTCCTGCTTCCCAAGAAGATATTCAAATTTCATTATTAGAAGACAATCTAAGAATAGAAGTTAAGGTATAATTATTCTGCTATTAAAAAGTATGAGCTAGTCTAGGATTGTTTTTAAAGAAAAAAAAATTTTTTTAAGGAAAATTACTCATTTAAGCCAGAATCTAAGAGAAGATCAAAGTATAATGATCTGATGACAATTTCTGTCAGAATGCCACAAAAAAGGATAATGACCTCAAGGCTAATGCATGAAGATTCAGATTTCTTCCACAGTTACCAATGTGTAGTAGTTAAAAGCTAGTAGAGAGATCTGGGTTCAAATCCTGACCCTGCCACTTACTAGTTTTATAAGTTCAGGTAAACTGGAGTTTCTGTGTTCTCCTTCTTTAAATGGGAATAGTAACAGGCCATGACTATTATGTGAAAGTTAATACATGAGAAGTCTAGCACAGAATCTGTAATATAAAAGATACTCAGCAAATGATACTAGTAGCTGTTTTGTTTTATTGTTGTTATTCAAATACCATGGGCCCTTCTATTCTCAGCAAGGGAAATTTCAACAACTGTGCAGATCCAGGGATTAAAAACCACAGAGAAAAACACATCTTTATTTTGCTTATAATAAACTTGAACAGATCTCTTTTAGGAAATTCTTTTTTTTTTTTTTAAAGATTTTATTTATTTATTTGTCAGAGAGAGAGAGGGAGAGAGAGCAAGCACAGGCAGACAGAATGGCAGGCAGAGGCAGAAGGAGAAGCAGGCTCCCTAACGAGCAAGGAGCCCGATGTGGGACTCGATCCCAGGACGTTGGGATCATGACCTGAGCCGAAGGCAGCTGCTTAAC